GGTAAAAATGCTTGGAAGGACCAAATTTACAAATGTTAAAAAAATCAGCAACAACCTTCCTCATAGTTAAGTTGGTAGAAGAAAGAAGTGATACACCAGTACAATAAGACTAATGAGTTCAGTGGTAAACTTTGATGCTACTCTATACCAATTGCATAATAGGTTTTAATTTGGCAAATAAAGTCCAACCTCACAATCAGCATTGAAGTCTGTGGTCTGGGTTGGGCTCCCAAGCCATGATGCTAGCCTTTAATTTTTGAATCTTGTTTTACTTCCTATTTTATTAGTTTCTGCAACAAATGAAGCATCTCAATCCTGTAGGCTGCACTGGTAATTGCTGACTATCATCATCTTGCTGCTCATTATCATCAACCTGCTGCACACTATCATCTTGCTGCTCATTATCATCAACCTGCTGCTCACTGTCATCATCTTGCTGCTCATTATCATCAACCTGCTGCACACTATCATCATCTTCCTGCTCATTATCATCAACCTGCTGCTCACTGTCATCATCCTGATGCAATTGACTAGGAATCTAGAATCGTAGTAGAGCATTCGAAAGGAGAAATTATTAGTATAACATTTTAAAACTTGAAATTACATATAGTGAAGGGAAAAGAAATTATCAACTTAATTTGGCTTTGAATTGTAGGTAACAATGGTAGTAGATAATAAATTTGGTTTTAGTTGCTAAGTACTATAAATAAATTAAAAAAATAAAAAGGGATTTAGTAGTAGTACCTAAAAGATTGAAAGAAGGTAAATGCATAATTGAAATCAATAAGGAAGAAGAGGGAATTAAAGAAAGAAGATTTACTATTATATATAGTTAAAAGCTGAAGATACCTCAATGGGAGCTCCATTGCGTTGGATCTCTTTGGAGTCTATTTTGATGTATGGAATGTGAGAGATGTAGTCCCACTCGGAACCACTTCCACTGGCGCATCTTTCCTTTAACTCAGGGCATTCATCAATATAAAGCCCTTTTAATTCGGACAGGCATTGGATGGCTTTCATATGTTTCAGAGATTTGCAGTTGGAAATCCTCAGAGTTTGAAGAGAGGATAAGTTTCCAAACCAATTTGGCAAAGCTTCCAGTCCATCAGAATCCCTTATTTCGAGAGACTTAAGGGCAGTTAGGTGTTGAATTTGATCCAGCAGACGTTCTCTTGGTTCTCCCCATGCAATCAAAGTCAATCCTTCAAGATGAGATCCGATGAAGCCCAGATCTGGAAATTCCTTGAGCTCTGTTGAGAAACCACCAATAGTCAGGTTCTTCAGGCGGGCAAGGCAGGCAGGGTTAGGGATGATCCTCAAATCATCTGGAATAGAGATTAGATTATGACAGTTGGTGATAGCCAATTTCTCAAGAGCAGTGCATGATGGCAACCCACTTGGCAAACTTCTTAATCCACGACAACCCCTTATCCATAAAGTCTGAAGAGATGAAAGCCCATGGAGGTTCGGAAAGGACATCAAACCATTGCACTCCCATACAGTCAACTCTTTGAGACACGTGGCAGTAGATAAATCCTCTCCTATGCT